GATTCTGCTCACCTCTCGTTTGATGGGCTCTCCTTCACAATGGATCACCGTGTCCGGAGCCACTATGCAGTATGGACTTGGATCTGTCTCCACCACTTTGAACTCCACCGCACGCATCCCTCCACGCACCAGGAAGATGTCACCTGTAATACCCCACACACATCAGTTGCCTGCTGCAACCGATGTCTGCAAAATGTCAACCCTTGTACTACCAGCAGCCCCACATGACAAGGAAGCAGGTTACACAGGCATACACTGATGACATTTTTAACACTGCTCTGCATTTTAAACTCCATGTACTGTGACTACCCGAGCACCCTTTAGATCTGCAGCAGTTAAAGTTCTCAAATTTCATCCAGAAACAAACAGCAAACAAAACCAGCAAACAATAGAAAAGAATACTTTGCCTAAATACAAAACACAAATGCAAGGAATCACATTTCTTTTCCATTCAGTTTCAATTTAACATTGCTAAAACAGGCAAAATGCCCTAACTTCACAAAAATTCATTTTGAAGTTATTATAACTAGTTGTTACTAGTTATAACTGGTTTTCTCCAGAAGCAGAATAATGTATTACACTGCACTATGACTCCTGGCTAAACTGGGCTACAGAAGCTGGATAACTTCCACTTGTTTATACTGTATTAGGACCTGTTTGTTTTGGCAGAAGAGCTACTAGCACAACTCTAAAAGTGCATTTAGTTTTTTAACCACTCTCCTAGTTACTAATTAAATTACTTTGAAGAAGTGAATTTAGTCAGGGTGCCAGCTGGTATATCCAACCAATTAATATGTGGGCAACTTCCCAATTCCATCAAGTGGGAGCAACTTAGTTTAATGAGATTTTCTCCAGCATTCTATCTGATGCCTTCTCATCTCATGTAGCAAAAAAAATACAGGAGAACTACCAAGCTGCTCTGCCAGCCAGTACCAGATATCACCTTCTTCTGAAGATCAGGAAAAAATTAAATCAGTACCAGCAAAATCTCACTCTACAACTGTCAGTATAATGCTTTGCAGAGATCTCGGCAAGCTTCTAGAAATTCTCTTTATTCATTCCCAGGACTAGCTCACACTGGCTCCTTCAGGACTTCAATAACAGGCACTATTACCTTTCCTGATGGGTCTGTATGCTTCCAGGAAGTACGGCTTGAGATAGACCTCAAACAGATTCCCTGTGATCCCTTCTACTGTGTCATCAATCGGCAGCACATGGATACGTTTACCGTATTTCACATCTGGGCAAGGCTGGATGCTGTAACAGAAGAAAACTCCGGTTAGCCACATCACGCTGGACTTACATGTGCCAAAAGACAGGCTGGCAGGGAATAAGACCAGCCTGGCTGAACCTTAAACTGGCTACTGCCATAAACGACAATAAAAATGTTTCTGTAAATACATTAGCAACAAAAAGAGGGCTAAGGAGAATCTCCAGCCTTTATTGGATGCGGTGGAAAACATAGTGACAAAACTTCATGCCTCCTTTGCCTCAGTCCTTAGC